GAAGGAAAGCGAGGAAAAGAGGGAAAATTCAAACGAACTAAAAACGAACAATTGCTTTACGCCGAATTGCCGCTATTTGAAAGTGAAAGTAAAATGCGCACGCCGCTTTTACAAGCTATTTAAAAGCGAAGGAAAGCGAGAAAAAGAGGGAACACCCCCGCGGTGATACCGGTATTACCGGTGTTGTCACACGTCGTTTAACCAGTGGGAAAATTTCCTCACCGTCACAACCCTAATCTAAAGCAGGGGTGCCCAAACTCGCTCCTGGAGGGCCGGTGTCCTGCATAAACTCTGCAGGACAGCAGCCCTCCAGGACCGGGTTTGGGCACCCCTGGTCTAAAGTGTTTTATGGTTGTAGCAAGTGTGTATGTTTTAATTCTCTCTCACCTCCACACTGGTTGGAGTGGGTGTGCGTTCCAGCAGGTTTGACTGATCTGGGTCACATGGTTCAGTTTCCTCCGCAGGCTGGACTCGACTTGGGTGAACGAACTCCTTCAGCTCCAAAAGAGCTAGAGGGAACAAGAGAAAGGAAGCTGTGTGAGAATGTCTAGCTTATTGAAACTGAATGAAAATACTGAATCTGTATATATATATATTCACTAATCTTTTTAATATCAGCATAAAGTCTGATCCACACTGAAGCAATAAACGCTGAAGAGACCTTCTGACCAACAAGTGCCCAGTCTTGCATTCACATTCATTTACTGACCTCTGCAGAAGTTTCTGTTCCACAGAAAGAGGGCGCTGTTGAGCACAGACAGACTCAAACGCACCGGAGTCATATACAGCAGACAAACCACCGTCAGGAGAGAACCGTAAAACCTACACACAGAATAACACTCATTGCAATCACCTTCACTATCCTTAATGTTAACTAACAATTTTTTGCTTTTATTAGACATTTTGCATTACAAATTTAAAAAAGATAACAGAAAATAGACCAAAACAACACTATGCAAATAATTCATAAATTTTATGTATAATACTACATTATCTATGTAAATTGCAGTTGGCGTCCATCAGTTAAGGTTAATATTGCTGCAGTAAACATCATCATTTATAAAAATGTACCATGGTAAGCATAATTTCTGCCAAAATACCATGGAGTCATTCCGTATCAAATCAACCAAATTTCAGAAACTTCCCAGGCTAAATGTTTTAGATTTTGTTCATATTTTATCTGAAGAAAGACATAAATAGTGACTAAAGCCAAAATATTAAAAGCCACTGATGAAAATTCACTCAGTAATACACTATTTTAACTCAAGAATTATTAAAGATATCTTAATATGCTTTTAGATTCTGCTTCTTAAACATTTATTTTCCTATCTTCATTTTTAAGGCCTTATATGGTTCAATCCCAGATATGAGGATCTCACTGTGGTATCATAAGCAAGCAAACTGTTAAATTCTACACATTTTCACTGGTTAAAAACCAAATGTGAGTCACTTTGTCAACAGCTGATACTTTTTGGATTTTAAAGAGGAATGTCTGAAGAACAAATCATTTTTCTTTCATCAGATCAAAATCAAAATTTTAGCCAGGGACCTCTGGATGGGTTGACACAGAATTACACCACAGTTATGCATTATTATTACTACTGTAAAACCATAGTAAGTCTAATATGATCTCCTTCAAATATAACTTTTTCATATCATATGATTTCAATCATATTATTTAATGTTTTTGTGGACAGTGGTAGTTAATACCAAGTTCAATGAAGTAACAAAAATGCATTGAGTATTTTGGCAGAAACTATGATTACAGGGTAAATTATCACAAAGGAACATCCATACATCCATAGCATGATACTCACATGGAGGAGATGGCGTGGCTCTCCCAGTACAACACTTTATACACAGACTCTGCACACACACACGCCTGGGTCAGCAGCTTATCTACTCGTTTCAGCCTGTAACACACACAAGCCTTCATCTTCATCATCATCAGTGCTGACGTCAGCACTCAAACTCTCTCAAACGTCACTCACATGCCCTTGACCTCCAGCATGGCCTCCTGTTTGCTCATGTGGACCGTCTGCAGGTCTCGCCGCTGCACCGCATAGTGCTTCTTCTTCTGAACCGCGACCTCGCTGCTCGCGCCCTGGCAACGAGGATGACATTTGTGCATTATGTTAGTATACTTATACCATATTAATGATTACAGTCTCATTACACTGAATTCAGAACAAATTGTGTTACAATAATGTGCAAGTAACATGCATGCAACTTTAAACTTGGTTAGCAAAAATGTATATATATATATATATATATATTAAAAAAAACACTGAGATAAGGCCATGAGACACATACTAAACATTTTTGTCACATGACTTCTGAGGCTGTATTCATAAAACATCTTAAGGCTAAAAGTAGCTCCTAACTTTCTGATTTAGGAGAAACTCTTAAATATAATGGGCAAGCCAGTCCTAGTTTTAGGATTCCTAAATTTTTGCTCTGAGAGTATTTCAAGTGCTAAAAATAAGCTCCTAATTCTAAATTACTAAAACCAAAACAAAAAACATCCTAAAATGGCTTATTTTGTCAATCTGCCTCAGAACGTAAACATGTTAGAAGCATTTCACAATAAATTTCCTTTAATGTAATTATGTCCTTCTTTTTATGTACAAGTTGGGCAAGAAGTTACAGCTGTATCCAGTTTGTTTTTCTTTTACATTTGAATGTCTTACTGTCAGCCATGATTATACTGGCCCTGTATTCACAAAACATTTTATCTTACCACTAAGAGTTCTCCTAAATAGCAGTAAAAGTTTTTAGCTAAGAGTTTTCTCTTACAGTTTTTCTCAGACGCTTTGGTGCATTTCCCAAATCAGAAATGAAATTCTCTAAACTACTTGTACAACCTCCACATCATCTAGTCCCTTGTGCATATCATAAAAGCAGTTTCTCATTCTTTTGAACAAGTTGCGATTGTTTTGGTACATTCATGCAATTGATTATGTACATTTATCTGCAGTTTCCTACATTATCAGTTGCTAATGTCACGTTGCTCAACATGTATTATAAAGTTTTCTGTGCAATAGTCGTACCCCTCAAAACATCTAGTCATTAGTTCACCGTATAAGTCATTAAATGCAAAATGGTTCATCTAGTTGTCAAACTGTTGAGCGCATTTTTTACACATTATTACAGTTTTTCTCGATTGCTTAAACACATTTCTTGAAACTATACCTCGAATTCTCAAAATAGTAAACACAAATCCATAACGTCTCACCCAATTCCCCAAACAGCCTATTTTCAGGTCAAAATGAAGCTCTACACTCAAAACCATTCACTCTTGCTGAAAAA